AATCTGATTTCCTTAAGCAGGCTCTCACTCAATGAGCAAGCCCAGAAGCCCCAGGGAATCCCACAGGCCACCTCCTTCCTCCCAGAGAGCTTTCCAGATTCCCAGCATTGGCAGCCAACCAATCCCTCCTGGAGAAGTTCACACCCCACCTCTTTCACAGGCCCCAGGGCTTGTCCCACCTCCCAGGGACAATAGTCTGCTTAAACAACTGGGGTGGGGGTGAGGGGGAAACAGGGAGGGGGGCGGGCACTGGGGAAAAGGCAACCAAAGCTTTTTGGCCCTGACACAGGAGTCCTCCAAACTCCTTGGACAAAATGTGTACACGGCATTTCTGAGACTCGCCCTGAATTCCCTCGGGGGTCTTCATGTAATTTACAAGGCAATGCAGAAAGGAGCACATGGGGAGTGCAAATTAAACATGCTGTGTCCATTGGTACTGTTTGTCTAAAAGAGCTGCCGGTGTTAGTGGCTCTGTCCTTTCCGATCATAGGACAGTCACCTTCGCTCAAATACAGATCTTTGGAAGAAGACAAATGCTTGGCCTTTCTTGAGGAAGCTGCCAAAAAGAGGCCTATTGGCTGCCTCCTCTTGTGAAAGTGGGGAACACCGCTCATAGTGATTAAGCCTGGGCGTGGGCTCCAGCCGTCCCGGGCACTAAGATGGTCTCCTCTATAATGGCCATATCTGGCCACCACCAACGGGTGGAGGCTCATAATTGATTTTCACAACGGAAATGTGCACGCTCTGATTCCTAACGCTGTAAAAATGTGGGGAGATCTAGGGCTCATGGTTTGCAGTCCTAGACTTGGCCAATATTTTCTGTATTTGGTGCCCATATTGGAGGATACTCGACCACAGTTTGTTTTCGCTTTCAAGGGCGGGCAAAACACCTTGACGACCATCGATCACAATGCGTGTGCGGACAGGATTTAAATTCACTCCAATTGAGCAGCTGCCACTTATATTGATGACATGCTTCTCAAGGGGCGCTAGAGGACACAGTCAGGGGAGGATTTACAACAGGCCTTGCATCACTTTCAGCAAAGAGGTTGGGCAACTGCCCTCCCCAAAACACAAGGCCCCACCATGTCTGTGGAGTTTCTCAGCATGATGTGGCCACCTACAGGCTGGGAGATGCCTTGTGCTGTAAAGCACAATCAGGGACCCTACTGTATTGTGCCCCAGCACAGCACATTCTAGGACTCGCCAGGCTCTGGAGGCAGTCCATGCCATACTTACCATTCTTACTCAAACTCGGTTATGCCACTACATACAAGCCGGATTCTTTTCAAGCAAACGAGCCCCAACACAGATCCAGTACCTGGCCCTGGGTCATTCAGCAAGCACCTTCCCCGGTACCCCAGGTTCAGACATCCCTGGAGAATCTTGATGGCGACACCCAATTACACCTCCTGGAGGCACTGCACTAAACAAGGCTCTCCCAGACATTGCACACTCTTTTAAATGCCCCCAGTTAACCCTGCTGAGCACACAGAAATCTGCTGAACCAGCAGTTGGGCTGAAACTTGTAGTTTAAAAAAAAAAAATCCAACATTTTTATTGGCATATAATTCACAAATCAAACAATCCAATCGCTTGATTGCATCAGGAAGAGGTGTACACCCATCCCCATACTCAAGCTTAGAACCTTTAAAAAAATCATTTTATTAGGGGCTCATACCACTCTTATCACAATCCATACATACATCAATTGTGTACAGCACATTTGTACATTCATTGGCCTCATCATTCTCAAAATGGAACTTGTAGTTTTATCCTCACTCTAGCTGCCCCGCCTTAACTAACTTAAACACCTGGCAGCACCTTTCATCTGTTTTGGCTATCCACTTGGGGACACCACCTTTCCCCAGGATGGTCTCTAGCTTCCCTGACTCTTTGACCCGACTTGGTCCACTGACTCACTTTGCTTCCATCTCACATGACATTGCCCCAACCCAAGAGTTTGCTGCTGAAGGTGACGTTGGCTCAGAAGACAAAAACTTATGCCAAGGGAATGAGGGGGCAGGCAACAAGCTTCGGGGCCAGAGCTATGAGAACCCCTGGACATTGGCACTGTGCACTTTCAAGCCACCTTCACATAGGTAGTGTGTTAGGTCAGGTGGATTAAAGAAACAAATCCAGAGACACACATGTGTACGAAAGAGCTTTCTATCAAGAAGTAATTATACAGCCATAAAGTATCTTAGCCCAATCCAACTAAAGTCCATACGTCTGACACTAGTCCATAACTCCCTCTTTAGACTCACGCAGCCACATGTAGTGATGCAGAATTCAGGAAGACCACAGGCTGGTGGGTGCCAAGTCACATGGCTCCAAAGGCGGTGGACACGTCTCCAGGGCTCTGGCAGGTCTCAGTGTGGCTCCCCGGCAGGAAGGTAAAGGCAGAAAGAGAGGGCCCTCCTTACACGCAGGCCACACCCACACCCTTAAGGAGTCACTATCAGGCTGTAACCTAATGGGCAGGCTAAACTCCACCCCTACACCTTTATATATCTTCAAGTTGACTTGAAATTAT